GCTCGTCGTAGCTGGCCTGGGGACGGGAACACGGGCGACCGGTGATCGGTACGGAAAAACACTGCCCAGAGGCGCACCCCTTCCCCTGTGTTTTTTACCCCTTCCCCCCTCCCATCGATCCCCAGCTCTCAACCACCAACCTGCCTAATCACCGCCTGCAGTGCATGGCTCCTGATCTCCAGCCAGTTTTCAAAAGAGGGGCCTTTGTGTACGGCAGGAAGCTGGCTAGCAGCTGAGGAGGTGGATCCGGCACGAGGGGTTTGCAGGCGGCAGCTGGTCGGCGGGGGTGAGCCTGGGGGGTTTGGGGTGGGGTTGGGGTTGGGGCGGAAGGAGGGAGAGAGGCAAGGCCGGGAGCCCGGGGGGAAGACGAACCACGAGGGGGGGGGAGGGGTAAGGGGAGGGGAAATCGACTGTCGACACGTCCATCAAAGCTGCAAACTGCTGAAGGAGGGGGTGGAGGAGGAGGAGGAGGAGGTGCAGGAGGCGGAGGAGGAGGCAGTCAGTGCTCTGACGAAATGGCAAAATAGGTAGAAAAGGTGGAATTGAAAAAACGTACAGCAGCGCAGGGCAGTCTGATGTGGCAGCGGCGGCCAACAGCCCAGCTCGCTCTGCAGCAGCAGCCGTCATCCCCCCCCCCACCCGCCGCGTCATTCCGTACTCCCGCACCTCCCTCTATCCCCCTCACTAATCCGTTTACACGCACCTCCAAAATAGCTCCTACCTGCCCATTACCCCCCTGTCCCCTAGCATCCCGTACAAATCCGTACAAATCCCGTACAAAACACACCGGCGTGTGTGAACGTTACAATGGTGTTGAGCCACATGGCGGGTCCGAGGGCCTCGGTGAGGTTTCGGAGCACCGCCAGCTCCGCCCCCGCCCCCCCCGGGTTGCCTGCCCCCCCCGGCCCCGCGGCGGGTCCCGCGGGGGGGGTGGGGGCATCTAGCCGGTCCACATACACCAGCAGGTCGGGGCGGTGGGTGTGGTAGGCGCTGCGGGCAGAGGGGGGGCGGGGCCAGGGGTTCGTACAACAATGACGATGATGGTGGTGATGAGGGGGGGGGGGAGGAGGCGGCGGAAAGACTCCTACCAAAGCAAACTGCGGTCGCTCGTCCATAAGCCCCACAATGTCCAATGAGAGAAATCCAAAGCCATGACAGCAGGACAGAGTCAGAACCGTGCCAGCGCGCCAAACACGCCCGGAAACGGGAGACCGTGTGTGGGTTTGCTTCCCCCTTCCCC